TATGTCTTCGTATATATAACTAACGTATACTACTATATATATATATATATATATATATATATACACGCACACACACACACATATATATATATATATATATGTGTGTGTGTGTTGATATATATATGTATTTGTTTATATACTTACACATTGTATTTTTCTTGGTAACAGATGTCACGAAAATTCTAGCATACGCTGCGCAGGCGTGTCACGAGATAGTACCCCCCGACACAGTGGAACAGATGATCACAGCCCTGGCCAACAACTTTGTCACTGAGCGTTGCTCATCTGAGGTATGTGATGCTTGAAGTTGATCTATTGTGTGCTATCTATTTCTAGTAGAGTCACAAATAACTGGTCGCGCCGTGTATACGTGAATTTTATGTGGATAAAGGTATATAAATCGAGAATACCACGTACGTATACACACATACATACATACATACATATATGCATACATAGTTTACCCTCCCATATGTATGCTAACTTCTCTCCATATGTATGTCTATAATGCCCATGTAGGTAATGACGGTGGGCTTGAATAGTATCCGAGGTATGTGTACACGTTCACCCCTGGCCATGAGTTCGACGCTGATGAGTGATTTAGCCGAGTACAAGAGTTATAAAGACAAGAGTGTGATGATGGCAGCCCGAGCGCTTATTGGACTGTTCCGAGATATCAACCCAGAGGTTCTACCTAAGAAGGACAGAGGTTTTGCAGTATGTGCTAGTTCCGTGTTTTGTATAGTGTACTAGTATACGGCAGTGCATTGGTGTGTGTTGCATCGCACTGTTTTACGGCTAATTTCTTTGAAAAGTCGTCGCATGGGCTAAACGTTTATTCGCCTTGTCTTAGAGCCTGCGAGACCCTTCAATAGTTTTGTCGGTGTTTTTTCTGCGTACGAACGTTATAGGCATTGCGATTTGCGATGTCGCGTATCTGTTCGTATGGTGTTGTTTTGCGCAACGTGATTTGGGCTTGTAGACCCAACTCACACACTCGGATATTCCACACTCTCTAGAGAGTCCGCAGGAATGGTAATATATAAATATGGGGAACTATGTGGACATTGTGTACTGTACGACTGCTTGTTTGTTGTGGGTTGTTTTCTTTCCAATTTTATACGCGTGTATAGTTAATTATTCATATAAAAATACGAATATGTATATATGTGTGCCTGAGCAATATATATATATATATATATATATATATATACATGTAAACGTACACGTATATATTTATATATATGTGTGTGTCTGTGTCTGTGTGTCTGTGCATTGTGTGTTTATCTGCGCATACGCAGAATATACACGCGCGTGATCATCTGCAGAAAGACACTCACGTACGCTTGGACGAAGTCGCATACAATTCTAAACTCGACTTATGTCTTATACACATGTGTGATTACAGTCATATACCCATATTACACCTACTTGTGCATGTACGATACAGGCGAGTACGGAGGGCTACACAGCCGCCAATTATGGCGAAACACGTGTGGCCGATCATGTGCCCGGTGCGGAGTATCTGAAACAACCAGGAGACGAGAGCAGTGATGAAGAGCCTGAAGAAGATGGGTGGGATAGCGACGACAGCTTTGAGAATGGAGATATTGAGGGAGATTGGGTCAAGGTGCATGATGGCGATGATCGACCAATTGATGATGGCGAGAAGAAAGGTAATGTGTGTGTGTGTGTGTGTATGTATGCATGTGTGCATGTATGTTTATGAGTTGAAGTATTATGTATAAGTTTGTCTAGTTATATTATATTCAAATGTATTTTTTTATATGTTTATTAATTTTTTTTCAGCTGTGTATAATATATATATGTACATATACAAATATACATATATATATATATATATATTAACAAACATATTATATATATATATATATATATTACTCGTCTTCATCAAAGTATACGCTTTCAATTATTCACATCCACACTTTCCCCTGTGCACCGTACAGCTCCCATGACACAAGAGGAGATGGTGGCTTCAAGAGATGCTGCGAAATTGGCGAGTGTTAGTCGAGTTTTCACGGAAGATGATTTCAAGAGAATTAAAAGGGGCAAGGTTGAAGCGGTATGTCTCGTTGTTTGTGTTGGTAGTGGTTCGGTAGAAGACACAGTACGTATACCACATAGTATAGTCTGTGTACATACCAACACTTGAGCGTGAGTAAGATATCACGCAAGCTGCTGGGGCGCATATGTGCTTATGTTACATACCAACGCACCCATAGTGTATCTGCAAAACCCTTGTGTGTACTCTATGTATTGTACTGCTGGTGTGCTTATTACTAGGGGGAGTACTGTTAGGTGCCTATTACTGCTGGTGTGCTTATTACTAGGGGGAGTACTGTTAGGTGCCTATTACTGCTGATTTATTCAGTCCCTATACACTGCTATTGAACCTAAACTAGAACTTTGAATTCCAACAACACTTGGTTTTTGGCTTAGATTATCAGCAATGTCAAACCCTAAACCCTACAAACTTTGCTCACCAGTTGTAGTGATGTCGTTCACATCCTGTGCTTTGATGGATTACAACTATCGCTAATCAGTTCTTGCTAGCGTACTGAATAGTCCTGGTTACGTAGTGAGTCATAATGGTTCCTGTAGTGTGTCGTAAGCGTCATGGGTGTGACTAATAACACTTGTCTTCGCATACGTCGCAGGCTATGCTGGGCAATAATAGCAAACGAAAACGTGGAGCGGAAGATACGAGCAACTTCAGGAGGTATGCCTAAATGTTAAGAAGCGCGTGTTCTTCTTGGGAGTGTATATGTTCACCTTTTGGTACACATTCCTGGGTGCTATAGTGTGTACATCTCTATATACAACTGGATGCGGCACCTTATTTCCTTCTTGTTTTCATTGTGTATATCCCTATATACAGTTAGATGCTGCACTTTTTTTTTCCTTCTTGTTTTCGTATTTGCCCTGTCCTAAAAGCTCATGCACGCTAGCCTGCAATATATAACGCGGGTCCAATTAAGTGTCAAATTACACGGGGAGTACTTGAACGTTGTCCATTTGCTGACAGACATACCCCACAACTACATCCGCAACGCCTCAGACACGATGAGATTGTCGACGTTAATGACATCGAGAAACTCAGTAAGCGACAGAAAATGGACAAGGAAGCGCGACGCGAGACCGTGTTGGAGGGCAGAGTTGATAGAGAGAAGGTGGGTAAACGTATAAGTGCATATTAAGGCGATACGTATATATATATCACGATACGTATATATATAAGGCGACACGTATATACATCCGAAGACAGGTCTTCACATCTCGAACTTTAGTATGAACTGTCGCCGATCACTGCTTATCGATACATCACGATTTAGAAAATTTTAATTCGCCTTTGAAAGACGCTGCAATACTCTGCGTCTCTAAAAGTGCTGTGCTCGCTCGTGTGTAAGTTTGTAAGTACAACTGTATCTCAAACTGTGCCACAGATATGCGGGAGTACGAAACTACAACCACTGTTCTGCGACCTCCATGCCTTTATGTAGAACATGGTATGAGACGGTCAGGCGACTTCTTGCATAGCGGAAAGAAAGCTACCTCGGCACGTATTCATTATCCATCCGCTTGCCTCACCCTCTCTTTCCCTTTACCCCATTCATTTGCCCCACAGTATATGTCCAAGCGTGCTAGACGTAAGGCTATTGGTGAGGTGGGTATGACTCAGAAAGAGAACTCCAAGAAGAAGAATTTCCTCATGGTCAGCAGGAGTTTCGCAGTGCACAGCAAGAAGACTATCAAACAAGTCGAGAAGATCCGACAGAACCGAGCCAGTCGGAAAAAGAACAGCAAAATGATGCGCAAATAGATAGGCCTGAGCCATACGGGATGATTATGCGTACTGCAATAAAAGTTCAACAAAATAATCCTGGCGTATTTAATGTGTATTATAATATAGGTTAAACGAAACAATCCTGGCGTATAATGTGTACATAACGAATCAACACCCTGGTGTACTATATGCCCTATAACAAAGTTGAATAAAGTAATCCTGGCTAATATGTGTACAATAGTAGAAGTTGAACGAATTAATCCTGGCCTATAGTATGTGTACTATGATAAAAGATAAACAGATTCAACTGTACGGATCTATATATACAATCTTATCAACGCTTGTTCTGTAAGAGCCTGCATAGTCTCCAGATATCACCTGCCGCACGACAGGAACTTTCCCGTGCAATCCATTCACGTGACTAGACTGAAGGAGCTATACCGTCTAATTGACGCGCTTGTTCAGCGGTCGAGTACATAGCTCCTTCCCGTGGAAGTGCGAACCTGAGAGCCAAAAGAAATGTGAAAACGAGGACCCATATACAACTAGGATGGTAACACCATTGTGTAACTGCAGAACAATTCGCATACTTGTAAAACCAACAACACACACAAACTTGTACTAAATGACACGCACATACAAGCATACATCCGCGCATATATGCCGGTTGTGATATTTGTAATGACTGTATTTAACCAAATTATTCCAGATATTAAGATGCGCTTGATACAAAATAGCAGACGGTAGTGTCGGTACCAGATCATTCTAATATCACTCCCATGCTCTTCGTATCGTTTCTTAGTACAAGTACGTAGCAGGTTAAACCGACCAAAAAAAACACATAGCCTGCTCATTAAATATCTCAACACTAATTTGCGGGATCGTCATCGAAGTCACTTGCCATATATTAAACCAATATTATGTATATATCGAGAGCGAGTATAAACATCTACGCGTATGGGACGAACAACAGGCGCATAAATACGAAGTGAACTGTCAAATCTTTCCCTAAAACAGGTGTCGAGTCCAAGTACACCGGTCGCGCTAGCGAACCCGGCGAAACAAGGGCTCGGCTCGCATAATTGCGGCTCGGAAATCTCACTCTCGCATCAAATAGAGATTGGAAAAACGGATCTGGTCTGGTTTTGGGTTTGAAGCGGTTGTTTCGAGAAATCAACATCATTAAGGAATGTGTATCTCATTTCTGACGAAACATCATATCATGTTTAATTTTATTAGTGTTCATGCCTACTGAATTCGTTTTTTCGAATACATATATGAGCTACAATATATTTAAAACCTTTGAGAAACGGTCGCACTTGAGCAGACCGGAAAGGGTTGACAGTTCACTTCGTATTTATGCGCCTGCTGTTCGTCCCATACGCGTAGATGTTTATATTCGCTCCCGATATATACATAATATTGGTTTAATATATGGCATGTGACTTCGATGACGATCCCACATATTAGTGTTGAGTTATTAGGAAGAGTAGGCTTTGTTTTTTGGTCGGTTTAACCTGCTACGTACTTGTACTAAGAAACGATACGACGAGCATGGGAGTGATATGAGAATGATCTGGTACCGACACTGCCGCCTGCTATTTTGTATTAAGCGCGTCTTAGTATATGTAATAATATGGTTAAATACAGACATTACAAATGTCACAACCGGCATATATGCGCGGATATATGCTTGTATGTGCGTGTCATTTAGTACAAGTTTGTGTGTGTTGTTGGTTTTACAAGTATGCGAAATGTTCTGCAGTTACGCGATGGTGTTACCATCCTAGTAGTATATGGGTCCTCGTCCTCACATCAGAGGTTTTCGTAGTATAGAAAGAGATGGAGAGAGACTACTCAGACGATTGAGACAGTAAAATATATAATATGTATGTATTTTTAAAAATTTATTAAAAAGTACTTGCACGTGTAAATCCTTGGAATCGCTGTTCCTATTTTAAAAGTATGTCGTAATAGTAGAGTGCAGAGCTGTGGACATCATTTTTGAGCAGAAATTTGTAGCTTATATATACATCAAGAAAAATCCATAGACACCCCTTAATAAAAGTATTCTATTATAATGTAGAGACCTTGGAAATCAAGGTGTCTCCGGCTTGTCTATTGCATTTAAAATGTTTTCTGCGAGTGAATGTATGCGCCTTTGTTGTTATTTATTTTTGTACGCGTTCGTGACGCCCATGGCTACCCCAAGCAGTAACGATCCGATGTACGAAACAGGGTACCCAGTACAAGCTGGAGGACTGATGTAGTACGAAAGAACTTCTTTAGAGATCCATTTATAAAATGAATTATGAAGTTCTATACCACGTAGTTCTCGTCTGCCTTGTATTTGGAGCGTCATTCACAATCATCCGGTTGTGTATATAGATGTAGAAATACATATTGTAAGAACAACCCAAAAGTAACATCAGCAATGGATTGGATATACATCCCGCACTCCACAATGAACTACCTATCCCTCAGTAAACTACGAGGACTCCCAAGATCGCGGATGAATTGGAACAATGCATTAGCTTTGCATAAAAACCCATACCATACAATTCATCTGCAGGCCACATTCTATGTTTCCATAGCATTGTAATGTAGAATTGTTGGATTTAAAACTCTTATGTATGCTGTGCTGTTGTTTCATGGGGTCGTCAAGAAACAGTAACTGCGACTCAAGGCAGCAGCAAAACAATTCTGTTATATATACGGCGTTTGTCTATACAGTTTCATCATTTATTTTGCACTTTATTGATGCATTCTCAATACATTAATCACTATTTTTATATTACCATGTCTTAAATTTAAAAATGTCATAACATATGCTTGTCTACATAGCTTCTGATATCTGCTGCTGCAATCACTGCAAGAACAACTCGGTGAGCTTCACGATACAGTCCTCCGGTGAAGTGACTGTGTGACCAATGGTGCGCTCATCAGAGAAGATCTCGTAATCATTACCACCCTGGATAGAAACGAAAGGCGACCCATTAGATCAGTATATATATATTATAGAATACTGTTTCAAGCTCGAGCACGTTCCGCAGTATCTCCAATGTAACCAAGACTATATAATAAACATGAAGTTGTGAAGTATCAACCAGCCTGCAAGAACACACCTTGTATGTCTTGTCGCCGAAGAAATGTATAGTCTTGTAGCCATCGTCTAGTAGTTGCGTCAGGCAGAAGGTCTTATCCCATCCGGTAGGGAACACATCGAAACTGATCATGCCACCAATTGAGTAGGTAAACCCGTAGTCGGCAAACTTCTCTTGTAGTGCCTTAACCATGGTAGAGCGTACGTTGTGCACCACATCGTACTTCTCGAACTCAACCCGCTCGTCGTACGAACAGTTGCGGCCAATAGGCGACACGTTGATCATTCCTACACAAGAAAAAGAGCGGAGGAATATTTATAGCTACATTGAGTTCGTATACTAATCTTCTATGCGAACAACTGTGAATCCGTATAGCCACTTGAGATATAGCGCTAAATTGGCACAGGAATGCATGATAGGGACGATAGCAAAGCGAGGTTCTTCATCCAACCTCTGCAACAAGTGCAACCCAAAAGTAGAACCATGACATGAGCATCACATACCGTTTCTAAATTCAATAAACGTGCCACGCTTGATGGGAATATCCAACCCCGCGATGTAAGTCAGCACGAAGTTGATGAATGTGTTTAACTTGGCATCGCCGTACTGCGCCTTGATACTAGTGGTGGGCAGGGGCTGGCCGTCCCTGAAACCAGTCAAACCATTCTCCGAGAAGAAGTACTTGAACTTGTGCTCAGCACCATGTCCTAGTTGTTCAATGATTTTGCTGTGATCCGAGCCACCCACTACACCGATGTGAAGATCGGGTACGGCACCTAGCTTGGCTAAACAGTCGATCATATTCTGCTTCATATCCTGTCATGCATTGATGCCCGAGGGCTTAAACGTGAATATATTGGCAGGGTTACGATACATACTAGAGTATCGTACATTCGACATATCACGCACCTTACACATATGAAGAAAAAAATTGCCATGAATGACAATATGAAAGTCAACAAAGCGTCACAAATTCAGTATATTCGATCTCAAGTTGCTCAGGTTTATCAGCAGTGATCGATACAATATCTAGAACTGAACAACCGATAAGGGTTCAACTAATCGCACCTTATTCCCTATATGTTTACGAACTGGTCGCACTTACCCTCAAGCACTTTCAAGTTGCATATAGCAAAAAATAGTTGTTTAAGCCAATAGTGGAACGCGCACACACACACACATATATATATATATATGGGTATATAAATGTACATCGATACACTAAACACACACACGTATATATATATTTCTATATATACAAAAATTCATATACACCTATGTCCACATGGGTGTGTGCGTGTGTGTATGTGCATTCATGTCCACAAAAACATGTGAAATTGAATGTATTTTTGTATTTTTGAATGCATATACAGGCATACATACATACATACATACATACATAACATATAATATGGATATATATGCGAGTATAAACACAGACACACAGACACGCAGATTTTTATATATATATATATATATATTCAGATAGTGTATACACACACACACACACACACTACATATATATATATATATATATATATATATATATATATATATATATATATATACACACATAGTATAATATATATATATATATATATATTGTGTGTGGCCATCATAGATGCTATGCCTCATACTACGAATCATTCGTAGTCGACGCTCAAATATATATGGCAAAATATCAATCGGTGTATTCAGATTTATTGATTGATTTTATATGGCTTCACTCAGTCTTCACAGAAATTTATCATACGCAGAAATGATTCGGATCTAGTGCAGCAGAATGATAAACAAACCTTACGAGCAGGGGTGAGCGTGCCGTCGACGTCAAACATGACGATCTTCTGTACTGTACCAATCATGATGTATGCACGAGTGTGTATCCTGGTTGTGTGATAGGTAATAACAATCTCAGACTGGCACTTTGCAGATGATGAACCCTTATTATCAACAAGAAGTAATCTGAAAATACTTCAAAGATGTTGAAAAATGGCGCGTATAGCCGTATGCACAATTTACTTTCAAAAAAATAGATCCTCAAAGCTCAATTTCAGCACGCGCCAGGTCCCAGCCTTCCCAGGCTTAGGCCCCAGGCCCAGGGTGTAAAAAAATAAGTCTTGTTTTATAAGTACATATCTATCACTTTTGTTTCGGTCAACTCATCAGTCAAATCGTCGCTGATCACTCTTGACAACCACTCGATAGCAACCACAGTTTTTCGAACTATTCCGGACTTCGGAATAATGCCAAGGTAAGTATCAGCTAATTCGTCTTGGCCAATCAGTGGTCAATGTATACTGTGATGGGTCTAAGAACTTCGGGCCCTGGGCAGTGGGCTAAATATGTAACACATTCTGAACGCTATTTATATTTGTTTTACAAAAAATATATATATAGTACATACATATGTATGTATTTATTTATTTATGTACTTTGTTGTCTTGTGTGGTGCGCAGCAGTAAAATCCAGGTCGTTCATCCTGATTTTCACCCCTAAATATTTACAAAACTAGCCGTTCATTTTTTTCCAAAATGAATGGTTGCTTTTGGCAGATCATGATAATGCCAAAACCGATGAGTTTCCAAAAGCGACATTCTGGAGATGTGGTGGCCCTATGTTAATATTAGGTATAATGGACTGTTGCCTGGCCCAAATGTTTACACTAGGTAAAATTGACTTTTTCGGCTTTGCATACACTTGATAAATTTCTAACCCATACAATTTTGACTTAGACATTGGGATCGAAAGGCCTTGAGGAATGGAGGTAAAAGCTGTCGAGTTTTTAGGTTTTCACCGTTGGGATCTCGTGTTATAGCCAATATATCGCTCCAAAAGCCCCGGATTGTGAAACGACATTTTGGCTGAACAAGATTTTTTTTTTAAGGTTTGCACCAAAAATCTAGCCGAATATTATCGCTCTATAGGCGTAGAGCCCAAACCTGCTCTCAAAATCGATCAATTAGAAAAATTGTTGTGACCCCCAGTATGTGCACAATATTGTTTTGTTTTTAAAAAATATAAACCCCCAAAAAACTCCAAAAAAAAAGATATTAAAAAAAAGCTGGGCTGGTTTTGATATGTTTAAAAAAATAAAAGGAAGACAGCACTTTTCGCTATGTATTAATTTGAAGTGACATGATTTTGTTCTTAAAAAGACCGTCGGAAACTACTTCGCTATGACGAAATGTCTGGACGTCATGTCATTCATGACAGTCAGAAGTGCGATATACGTCATAATATTCTCTTAAAAACACTTCGCGACGGATCGCGGGATCGGACACTATTTAGCTTGCTTTTTTAAATAAGAAGACATGTCTTTGTCGTATACCACCAAGCACAGACTCGCAGTCTCTCAGACTCTCACAGACCAAAGTCACAGTGTCAGTGACAGTCTCGCAGTCTCACCACTTCTCGTTGTTGTGAGTCTGTCAGTCTGAGACTCTGAGGGCTGAGGCTTGAAGCTCTGAAGTCTGAGCCACAAAGTCTGACAGTCTCTCACTCTCTCTACTATAATACACATAGCTATAATACATACATACATACATACATATATACTTACAAACATACATACATACATACATACATACATACATAAATACATCTATAACATACATACATACAAACATAT